TACGAACAGATTAAAAATAGGCAAAATGTTGAAAAATTGCTGTTCAATTTTGAAATGCTATTTACGTAATATACTACTTTTTTCATGATGAACAATTTAAAATTTAGAAAAGTTTCAGATACAGAAATGGCTTAATTAATATTAAGATAATTTAGAAGAACAGGTTTTAAACGCAGAAAAGTAATAAGGAGGTTCGAATTTTGGCGGAGAGATAATGTTGTTCGCAATAAATGTATTTCTCGACGCGCAATTCGCTGGGTGATCTTTGAGAAGAGGTGTGTATGCAAGAAAAGTTTAATTAGGCACCAAGATCCAGGTTGACCATAAAATTGATTTAACAATATTACTTGTCATTACTGTTAAAATGCAAAGAATTTTTCAAAACGTGATAAGGATAGTATAGATCCACGTACAAATAATTAAATAGATTAGTTGAATCGCAATTAATCGTGCAGCTATTATTTATTATTAACACACTCCAATAAAGTAAACTATTATTAAAAGTGATAATTTTAAAAATACTACTTTAAACATTTACTTTCGATGTGCTGGAAACGAGGGAAAGAGTTAACGTATGAACGGCCCACTCTGCAGATACAGTAGAATTTTCTCGCACTTAGTCATTTTGCTGTTCCAGTGCACGATTATTAAAAATATTTCTTCCCTCGATGATCTCTACACACGTCTTATTCGGCAGAAATATCAAGATTGTGTGACTAAACGACGTGAGTGTAGTATAAGGGTTGTCCAAATGAAACATGGACTGGCTGTTCGAGTAATTTAAGACGACATAAGAACACGTACACAAGTAAATATGTAATACACCGCACTGTTGCCGGTAAGCTGTATACATGGGCACCCTAACATTTAGACAACTGTCCTATCTTCCAGTGGCGTCGCTATTCACGAAGCAAACCGAGAGTCCATGTTTCATTTGGATCCTTATATAAGGATTTTCGCGGTGGAGATACGATGACAGCGTGGATTGAGAGGGCACGGCAAAAGGGTCGGGATGTCGGAGGCGTAGTTTGATATACGGCCGACAAATATACGAGCGTTGCACAGAACGAGCCCCTGCGTCGTTTCTCGTGCCGTGCAACATTGCGTGCGCGGCCAACATCTTCGCTTTCTACCCGCCTAAGCCTTCGTGGCCGACCGTGTGCCATTCTTGCGCGTCGCCGGTAATGGTATTGTCCCTGTGTGTATTAGCATGAGAAATCCGAAACTCGCGCGCGAGGAGAACCACTTAATGAAGTGTTATCGTGCTAGCCGCGCGCGTAATTTCGTTCTGATGCGTACGAATTAATCCCGTTGCTGCCACGCGTAATTCTGCCGCCCTTCCGCACACTCGAATCGCGAGGGAACGTTTCAGCGTGTGCTGTCGATAAATTTCAACGATTGTGAACAGGGACTCTTTCCGCGTAACTTTCTAGCGATGCTGACAATGCCGTAATCAAGAGCGAATGCAGAAATATATTGAATATAGAGGCTGTGGAAATGGAAAATACTTGTTGAAAATAGTATTTTTCTTATGGTAATATAGAAAATGCACAATATTATAATTTATAATAGTAATATAATTATTTGTTGCGTTAGCAAATTAGTGCAATAGTATTTATACGCGCTAGAAATATGATTTAATTTTTGCGCTCAGGTAAATGATTCTATTTGAATTTCGAGGAGACTGGCGCTAGCTCACAATGAACCCATAGAAAGCAATGTCAACGATTCGGCGGACGGTACCATTAAATGAAATTATCGTAGTTGACAAAGAGACAAAAACGTCACGTATTTGAGATAAATCGAGTTAAAATCTCTACGTCGACGTCTCGCGGTCCCGAGTCGGTCGGGATTTTAAATTCGGCAGTCGTCGAATATCGAGAGTCCTGCCGGCGAATCGGTTGTCATCCCGAACTGTCGTATTGACCGACGTGCAAACCCGCGTTTGCACAAACGCGACTTTAACGAGAAACGACATGGACG